TTTCATTTTTTTTCTTTCTGATTCTAAGTATGTGTTCATTCTGCTACCATTCTCATTGTTTGCATATTCCATTTATAGTATTCTCATCATCCTTCTGTAGAACCACATTTCTGTTGCCTTCATCTCTGAGGCAATTATTATTTTTTTTATTTTTAATTCAAAGTAGAAAGTGGTGTTAGACAAGGATGTGTCGTCTCACCAGACTTACTTGACCTATGCAGTGATGCAATTCTGAGAAAATTAGAAGTACTACCAGGATTCATTATTGGCAGCCACAATTGTAAAAACGTAAGATATGGAGATGACACAGTTTTGAAAGCAGACATAGACAGGAAACTACAGGAACTCCTATGGAAGGGAATGAAGGAAAGAGATTAACATCAATTGCAAGTAAGCAGAATGCATGATTGTTAGCAAAAGGGACAGCCCAACATTACAAATTGGAGATACCAAAATCAAACAAGTACAACAATTTAGGGAGGCACAGTGGAGTAATGGGTAGCAGCTCGGATTGAGGAATTGGAGAGACAAGTTCGAATTCCAGTCAAATTCATTGCGTTCACTTGCATGATAATAGCCTTGTGAAAGGTATGAATCCTCTTTTTTCTCTTCCTCCAGCTATGGGTAAATAGCAAGACAGACTAGCTTCTATAGCCTTGGATTGCAAATGGTCTACTGCAGAAATAGCAAGCTACTGCAGGAAAAAAATCTACCTTGTCAGTCATGTATTGAAAGATACATGATCAGCTAAGTGTGTATCACACATGGCACATAACTGACAACAATTTAAATATTGAGAAGTGTTTTAATAAAGGACAGAAAATGCAACACTGAAATCTGAAGGCATGTTGGGATTGTGAAAGATGCCTTCCAAAAGCTAAGCAAAGTATCAAGAAATAGAAAAAAATTCATTAGAAACAAAGAAAAGATTACAGAACTATTACATAATATAAGTTCTCCCATATGGCAGTGAATCTTCTCACAGATGAAGAAAAGAGACTTGAAGCAACAGAAATGTGGTTCTACAGAAGGATGTTTAGAATACCATGGAACAAACATGACAAAGTTTTATAGAAAATGTAAACAAAAAGAACACATACATAACATCAGAGATAGTTGAAATTTCTATGGCACATAATGAGGAAAGATGGCTTGGAAAATTTGATACTCATAGCATATATTGAAGGGACAGAGGAAAGCAATGCATAACCTACCTAGCAAGTTTGAGTAAATCAATGGTGGAACAAGGTTTAGAAGACATAACAAAAAGACAAAATTTATTAAGAGCTACAAGGGACAGGAAATTGTGGAGAGCCATGATCACATACATCCTGAAGGAACATGGCTCATAGAAGAAGAAGAATTTCTAATTGGTCACTCATTTGATAATGAAGTAGCATAAAATGGCTTAACCTTAATGAATGTATTTGAGTAAGGAGAAACAAATGCAAGATATATTTTGAAGGAATTGGTTTTTGTTTGTAATGTCATTTATGTTCTATGAGTCACCCATCTTATTATAGCCTGACACAATGTTGCTTACATTTAGTGATCACATGGGTATTTGTGTTAACACTGTGCTTTGGTCATTAACTAGATTTGATGTCCAACATTATTTTAAAAATAAAACAAGAATATAATTGTGTATGCAGTTATTAATGTCACTTGATCAAAAATAAATAAGAAAAAGGGAAAAGCAAAAGGCTTCATAGAACCAGCATATTTTATTATTTTTTTTTTTTTTCAGATATAATTGAGTTTTGACTTATTATCTTGGCTTCAATATTTTTGCCCAGTTAAGTTTTGGTAGTGTCTGGGGGGAGGAGAAGAAAAGAAAAAAATTGTAAAATTAGCCTCATTCTAAAATTATATGATTTCCAAAATTTTTTATTTTTTTATTTTTTTTATTTTTATTTTTTTGGTTTTAATCATCTTTGCATTCATGTTGGCTTGAGTTTGACTTTAATTAGGTAGGAGGGAGTGGTGTTTTTATTGGATTTTCTTTTACTTTCTCATTCAAATCACTTGGAATAAGAGGAGACCGAACTAAAAATACCTGCTTCTTTTAGCTCAGTACATCTCTAGCTGAACTTTCTTTACATTTTAATTTGAAGTCTTTTAATTGTTCATGTATCTTTAAACACTGACTTTTCCTTAAACCAAAATTCATCATCCAGCTGCCAGCTGAAAGATTCACATAAAACTCTTCCAATTAACAAGGAATTGTATTTTCAGGCATTTGATTTTTGATGCTAAATTTCATATTTCAAACTCAGCATGAATATCACTCAATGAATTTGAAAAGTGACTCCTAAAATGCCAGAAATACACCAAAGAAAAAAAGAAGCCAAAAGGAAGAGAAAGAAAGAAGAAAAAAATCCAAAAAAAAATAGAAATTAGAAAATAAGTTGCAAAAAAGTATTTCATTAATATGGCTAATAGGATCAGTCAAGGCAGTCAACATTGTGTGTTGTGAGTTAGTACTTCAGGTTTTGTTTGTATCTTTTTTTACCTTTTTTTTTTAATACTTTTATATTCGTCATGTTACATCAGTGATGAGTGATTCTGATCTGATCTCTTTTGAAACAATTTTTTTTTCTCTTCCATTTTTTTTCTCTCCCCATAGCCCTGGAGTATTTTCTTCATCAAAATACAAAGTTGTCTAATGTAGAAAGAAAGAAATATTCAAGTCTGATATTAGAAGAATTCAGTCTCTAATAAGCTTCAAAATAACTGGAATTGGATCTGAGTGGGGGGGGGGAAGAGAGGAAGAAAGAATTGATTAAAAAGGATCTCTTTACAACACTAGGTATTAGCTATTTACCTAAACTAAAATCAACCATGGAGATTGACTTTAACTCTTCATCTTTTTATCTTTTCTTTCTCTTCCTAATGTCTGCATACATGTTCCTCACTGAAAGACCACTGGATTATCAAGACAGTTGTTTTTTTTTTTGTTTTTTTTTTTTTCACTAATGTTGGCTCAACACAAGACTCAAGAGCCACTCAAGGTAGAATGAGATGTGTGACATTAATCTAAAAGGAAGAAGCAAGAAGGGAAGATTTTTAAGATCATTAGGATAGATAATGATTGATCCTTGACTTGAAGAAGTTAAGATTGTAGCATTTAGGGGAGCATTAATATGGGAGTCTGCTCCAGAAAGTAGCAGTTTGTAGAAAAAAAAACTATCTGGATGGAACTTCCTTCTTATAACTGGAAATAGGAAGAAATAAGGATGGTTTGACTTCATGGATATAGCATGGCAAATCTTAATTGTAGAGTTCTGAACTGGTAGAACCAAAAAATGGAGTACATATAAACATTTGCTATGGAAATAGTGATAGAAAATTAGATTGTCTGTGAATGCTGGATAATTTCTTCCCAGATGAAGAGGAAACTTGAAACAAACATTTACAAAATGATGCTGAGAATACAAGGGACAGAAAATGTGAGCAATGAGGAAGTTTTAAGGAAAATGAAAAAGATCCTTTTGCTTAGGATCAGGAAGAGAAAGTTGAAATTTCTGGGGCACATTATGAGGAAAGAGGGCTTGGAGAATTTAATACTCATATGATTATAAATTGATTGATTTACTTTTTATGGCTTATCATTGATATTATTATTATTATTTTTGCAGGTTATTTAAAACTAGAAAATATTTTTAGATTGTAAGAATTTTTTGGAGATAATAATGATTTACTAATAAAAGTCCTACTAATTAATTCATAGCTGGGGGTGGAGAGAAGAGATGGATTCATACCTTTCCCAAGGCTAATTGTGCGTAAATGAATATAATTAACCCGATTGGAATTGGAACTCAGCTCTCTGATTTCTTTTCCAAGGTGTTATCCATTACACCACTCACATATTCAAGCTTACGGCACCAAGTCTTCCCAAGCAGTCATCCATATGATGATAAAAGTGGCAGAGTGAAACTGAGTAACATGCCTAACGAGTGGATAGCAAATTGATGAATTGAAAAGGATGGTATGGGGATGAATATTGCTTAGAGTTACAAAAGATAAGAAGTTGTGGAGAGCCATGTTCACCTATATCCAGAGGGGATACAATACAGAGAAAAAGAAGAAGAGATTTATCAAGTGATTAAAACTGAGTTTGTCCCTAATTTACTGAAGAATATAATGTCAAAGAAATCAATGATGCACAAGCTGATATCATTTGACACCTTGAATTATACAAACTTTACCAGTTCTCTCATCTACTTTAAAGTAAGAAACAAATACAGCTCTTGCTTAAAGTTACAAGAAAATTATACTGGCATTTTGTATAAGTTGTTTATTTTTATACTAATGTTCACATAATACAAGAACCAAGGGCCACTCAAGATAGAAGATTACTGCATGGTGTTGCATTAGCATAAGAAAGGGCAAGAAGTGAAGTTCTTGAGGCTATGCAGGATAGATAATGGCTAACTCTAGATTTGAAGAGGTCAAGATTTAATTAGTGAATAACATTTCAAAGTTCAGTCGGATACATTAGATTTATAGAGTTGAAGTAGATTTTAGAAGGAACCAAAAACCCAAACAGGAAACAAAGGTTAAACCTTTCCTCCTGATAAAAAAAATGAAGAGGTGTGTGAACTGGACAATAGGTAAGCCTATGTACTCCTATTGGGAGAGAAGGAAAAAAAAAAAGTTACTGAATAAACTTACAAAGCTCAGTCGCAGACTTTAAAAGGAGCTGGAAACCCTATACTAAACGGAAAACAAGAAATAAATGCTACTCCTGTTCAAAAAACTGGGGATGAGTGTGAACCAAACAATAAGTGAACTGATCTGCTCCTATTAGGAGAAGAAAAAATAATTAGTGACAGATATTAGGAGTATAGAGTTGAAGTAGACTTTAAAAGGACCCGAAAACTCAATCTTAAACAGTTGTATCAGTGATACAATCTTTTGTATCACCAGAGTATATTTTGTAATCAAACCAGTAACACTCTTATTTGAATTCTGCTTCTTTATCATCCTCTCTTTCACAGGAAATTGGAGGTCGAGAAAATGTACACAAACAGTTTATGACCCCTGATTGTCACAGTGAGAGGGAAGACGGCTGGAGTATAGGGGACACGGAGCACAGTCAAGAAGGACAAGGTAGGTAACTACAAAAAGGGGATAATATTCACTCTATATTCCTGATAGATCTTTTTTTTTTAACTGATTCATATCTTTGGCTTTTTTTTTTTCAATATGTTTGTATATAAGAGAAAATATGATTTTAAAAATTATGTTTTCAACTAAAAAAAGTTATCTTTAAAAAAATTCAATTTTTTTTTTTTTTTTGATATAGGATACTTTGCAAAATAAAACCAATGTCATCTTGAAACCTCCTTAAAACAATCTTGGCAATGCATTTTCAATTGTTCAATAAGACACTTGTGTACTGTTTTTTATAACCTTACCATCAATAGAAAAAAAATCAATAATTATTCATTTGTCAACTTTTTGTATATTTTAGACACTTTTCTATGATTCATGATTTTAAGATTGTGTTTGCATTCTGTATGTCTTAGAACATTATTTTGCTTCTGAGTATAACAATCCAAAGTTGGATCAATAAGTCAGTAGCCAGCTGCAGAGTTATTAGCTGAATTTGGATCTGAAAATTTTATTCTATTTCTTTATGAGAGAATGGAAGCCAAATGGACACTTATAATTAACATCAGGAAGAGGAAGTTGAAATTTCCAAGACACATAATGAGGAAAGAGAGTTTGGAAAATTTGATACTACAGGATAGATTAAAGGCAAGAGGAACAGAGAAGAACAATGCATAACCTACCTAGTGAATTTGAGTAAATGGATGGTGGAACAAAGTTTAGGAAAGTTAACAAAAAGAAAATTTATTAAGAACTACAAAAGACAAGAAATTATGGAGAGCCATGATTGCCAACATCCTGAAGGCACATGGTACATAAAAGAAGTTGATTAATGTTCATCAGTGAATTAAATGCATTGACAAGAATGGAGATTATGTTAAAAAATAATCATTTTTTGCATAAAATAAATTCTGTTATTCTTTTTTTACCATTGTGATATGGACTTTGGAGGTCAGATCAAAAATTACTGGGATTGGTGCTATAAAAAAACTATAACATATATCAATTCCCCATTTAATCTCCTTTGATGTAGTCCCTTTCTGAATCCACTTTATCCAGCATCATTTTCATTGATAGAAGCATTCCTGGAACACATTTTAGGGAGGTTGAGCAGCTGCCTTGTCGCATTCACTTGGGTTTCTTTGATATCTTGAAATCTTTTTCCTTTCAAGTAGCATTTGATTTTTGAAGAGGAAAAAGTTACAATGTTTGTGATCTGGGGAATATAGTGGTTGTCAAACCTGAGGTAGATTATGTGTGGACGAAAACTGCTGCATCAGCCATGGTCACTGATGGAACCTTTGTGGTGTGGTGAGACGACCACACTCTACACACTTTCCTTCTAAGCACTACTATAAAGAACAGAAGTGAGCAAAAATGTTATAACGGTGTGTACGCATGAGAGAGTACAAAGATAATCTGTGCGCTATGTACTTTAGCTCCTTTTTGATCAGACTTTGTACATTTATATTTATTTACAGTGCATGATTCAGTGATAGTACAATTGGAAAGCAAAGCCAAGATTCATTCAAATACATATCTGGCAAAATGCGTTGTGACTTCATATTGTAACAGGCATGACTTGAAAATATTCAGGTGTTAGTTTTAAAAATAAGTCATCTTTGATTTTTATAATTTGTTTTTCATGTTACAGTTAAGATTTTAAAAATCTTGGGCTCATGTTCTCTACTGATATGAAGTGAAAAGACTATACTGAATCTATTGCTAAGCCAGCTGTTGGCTTACTATGTCAGGAAAGACAATTTTTCTCTCCAGAATCCATATCACATATCTACAAGTCTACTATCTGTTCCATGCTTAGAATATTGCTGCAACATATGGTCTGGTGCCCCTGCTATTTACCTTGAGCTCCTTGATAAGATCCAAAGATGTATCCGCAATATTATTGGTCCTGATCTGGTGGCTTTGCTCCAGTCACTTTCCCACTGCTATAAGGTTGCCTCTCTATGTCTTTTCTATAAAAACTTTCATGGTAATTGCTTGGATGAGGTCTTCACTATGGTACCTAGCCTTTTTGAATTTAATTGCAGCACTAGACTGAGATCTCATCAATTTATGGTTAAGCTGGTTAGATTTAGCCATAAATTCTATGCTAACAGTTTCTTTTCTCACACTTGTGAAGCTCTTTTCTGGCTCCATGTTTTCTAGCCAACTTTAATCTGCAAAGATTTAAATGCAATGTCAATTGCTATCTACTGTTCACCTGATTACTCTCTTCATTTTCTGCTCATCATTAATGTTTCTATTCCTAATTCTTCCATACCCTGTAACCCCTTGTATTTTAGTGGCATTACTGCCTTGCTTGGAGTGATACCATTTTTTTTTTAAAAAAAAGGAAAAAAAATAGCTATATCAGACATAAATAAGAAGTTCAGACATAAACAACAATATAACTAAAAGTATCTAGAATTCTTGGAATTCATGCTTGTTTAATATAAATAACATAATAGAACTAGTATTTGAAAAGGAAAAATATTCTATACATAAAATGTTTTATTTACACAGTGGTATCAGAAAGTTATAGATGCAGATGGAATGATGGTTATTGGTGCAGTGTGTGAATTTGGAGTACAGAGTTCAGTTTCTGCTCTATTCTGCTTGTTTTACTTCACACTAATACCCTTTTTTTTAATATCATAATATTTATTAGTTTTTGTTCAATTTTGGTTTTGAATTGTTTTTTTTTGTTTTTTTTTTTTGACCACCAATCTGCATACTATTCCTGAACCCTTTCCTATTTTATTGGCATTTGCTTTTTTCTACCTACATTTATATACACTATAAATTAAACTAAGCACATCTAACTAATAAATAATGCAATATTTTTGCAGATTTTGACATAATTTTGGGTTGTATTTTTTGTTCAGATCTATCAATTTGTTTTGCTCATGCTATGTTTCAAAGAAAAAATTATATAAAATTCACTATTTTTTATTCATAATGTGGAATCTGTTAAAATTATTCACCTGTTTAACAAGAAAATCTAAAGATGATGTTAAAAATTGCCACAAAACAATTTTTATTTAAGATGGAATGATCTGTCTCTAATTTGTATTTAGAAAATTGAGATTTAGGAGAGTGGAGGGCCCATATCATATATTCAGCGGTGGGAGGCATATCATAGATTCGGATTTATATGATGTATTTTATATATATATGTATGTATGTATGTGTGTGTGTGTGTGTGTGTGTGTGTGTGTGTGTGTGTGTGAGGAAAGTTCCTTGAATTGACAATTAGTCTAGGAGAAGGAAATTTCTGAATTCTAAACCAAGCATGAAGAGGAATGTGCTCTGTTAGTCTCTCTTGCCAGACACACCACTGTTGCTTTGACTGCAGTATATATGGTATCTTACAACCAAAAGGCTTTATAAGAATTAGGAACAAGATGAATCAAAAAGTTCACATGAGAGAGTTAATTAAATGTTTGGTAACAATCCTCACGGAGAAGTTCTTGAAGTTTTTTCCACATTTTTATTTTGATGAATATTTGTTATTTGAACTGATATTTGATTGGCCTTGAAATACTTGTGCTTCCCAGAGAAATATGTTTGATTTAAAGATGTCTGTCAAAGCATTTCAATGAGTTTGGTAGCAGATTTACCAAACTTCATGCAAAATTTGATGCAAACACATTGCTCAGATTTGTAAAGTGACATCCCAAAACACCATTATGAAACCTTGCATAATAACTGATTAAAAATAGATAACACAAAACCTATTGGCAGACTGACTTAGAAGTCTAGGTATTAATGAACATTACTTGCATGTACATTTCTGTTGAACAGAACAATCATGGCATTTACAGTCTGGGAACTTTCCTCATGTGCATGCACACACACACACACACACACACACATATATATATATATATATATATATACACACACACACACACACACACACACACATACAATAAGACTGTTTTCACAAACAAGAAGGTATATCTTGTCTGGGAAATGGTTATGTTAAAAAGTGCTCAATACACAGTTCCAAAAATTAAAAGTATAGTACTATTTAATATTTAAAATAATAAACACACCAACCCTTTCTGCTAGTGTGGTAACAAAAATGGTTGGTGTGTTTATCACTTTAAATATATATATATATATATATATATATATATGACACATTATATTAACATGCCATCATATAAAAACACCATTGTCAAAAAAAAAAAAAAATTAAAAAGAAGTCAAACCAAAATTGAACAAAAACAATAAATCTCAAGATATTAAAAAAAAGCCAATAAATGAATTTTATGCATGTGATTGATGCCTGAAATTGATGATAATAAACTTCACCATTTTTTAGGTTTACATATTAACTGCATTTGGAGTTATATGTTAATTGTTTTTTATAACTAATACTAAAAAACTGTAACAATACTGTTTTTGTTTCAGATTTTCTCACAATACTGTTTTTTCTACAGATGCATTAATTAAGATTAATAATAAAATGCAATAGCTGGTCACTCGTATCTGAGCATGCCTGTCTGCTACAGTGTTGAGCAAATCCCTGTTGCAGATGCCTGTTCAGCCACATTCTTGCTTGTTCAACACCCATAGGGCCAACCTGTTGTTTATACTTCAACTATGCTAAGCAGAGGTTAGTTAGTTTCTGGGAGGTAGAGCATAATTTAGCATAATCAACAGTTTGAACAAGGACAGTATGCTCAAAACTGCAGTCACAAAGGCTTGTGACTTGATAACCACTGATAGCTTCCAGAAAGTTCCATCTACCCAATTTCACTCACAAGGCTTGGGCCAACCCATAGTTTGTTTTTCAGTCAGTTCTCAATGGTGCTGCATGCTGGGATCATCTCCAGAATTTCTTGTTCTTCATCTTTTTGTTATCAATCCTCAACCTTACTGCAGTATCCATTTAAGACATAGCTCTCCATAACAATCATGGCTCTCTACAATTTTCTGTCCTTTGTAGCTCTTAATAAAATTTTGTCATATAAATCTTTAACTTA